CTCCACAAAAGCAGCATAAGTGCAAAATGGAATCTGCATCTGCAGCTCAAAGTGCAGCTTCTGGAATCTGGACCACTATTATTTATGATCTCACAATGCAGTTTACAGTCAAGTCTACTGGGTGCCCCCGCTGAGATTCCAACAACGGGCCTAGAATCACATGCTGTCAGCCTCACATGAAAGGCGATGACCAAACTGAAAGAAGAGGCGTTGCAAAGCACAAAATCCATTTTGTTTCATTATATGTTTTTTACGTTGTAACTTGGCCACTGCAAGCAACATTGCAGAGCACGGTGCTGACAGAGTTGTCATTAATCACACAAGAAGAAACTGAGAACAGATTAAATTTACAGCATTTTCCCTGCAAACTGATCTGTCCTTAATGCATGACTCCATGCATTTTGCTCAATTAAGCCGTGAGATTTTTTGGAAAAGTGTGGAAAAGAGAAGAAATGTGGAGTGTTGGTATGCAGATCAAATTACATTTGATCTACTGCTGCCGGTGGGTGTTAGCCCTGTATGGTGTTTCACCAAGGGAGTAAAAGGCTAGAGGTTTTAGATCAAACTAAACAAAAGGGAGAAAGGAAAGTGGGAATATAATGAATTAAAAACATCAATATGACATCTGAACAGAAGCCCACTAACTGCAAATTAGGCCCCTTTTTCAAACCAAAAGGAATCGAAAGCAACAAACAGGAAAGACACAGTAAGCACACCTGTGTAGCAGGCATTCAGTGTCCTGCTGTCCCTCACATCCTCCCTGCATTGGTTTAATGGTTGGGCCAATCACTGCTTGGCACTCCTTGGGGCTGAAGCTGTGGATACCATGATTATTGTTAGCCTGCATAGTGCTGATTGCCCACTTCTGGTGCACGGCAGATTCCCAGCAGGCCGTCGTATCACAATGCACAAAGTATGGTATTATTTGTTTTACATAAATTAATATGAAAGACATGCAATTGCAAGACACTGTCTCAATAAACTTTATTATGTTATCAGAGCTCTTCATTAGCAGTTGTTATTGATGCAGGATTTTTTCATTCAGGGTCCAGTGAAAGTTGATCAAATCATTTTTTGATGTCTTTAATGACATTCCTTAAGGTACAGCACATTACTGTCAGGGAAAATGATTATGAGGCATTTTAAAGCATTATAAATTTTGTCTCCATTACTATAGCTGTCTGACTGATGAGGGCAAAGTCCATTATATCAGAAATGGAAAGCGATGCTCTCTAAGTCTCGACCTCCACGGTCGGGTTGCGCTCCATCACAGCCGGTGTTTCCCTACAGACTAAGTGCTTCCTGTACATCTGCATTGTGCTCCATCATTCATGGTGGCAGCTTTATAGAACATTTTCACTGCCATGTGCAATTCTGACATTGACTCCCAGACAGTGTTTCAACCTTCCCTTTCTAGGATGAAAAACACTAAAGTTGCACAGAGAAGAAGCTTCTCTCATGGCCATGGAGCTGTTATAGTGGAGGTGCTAGTTACCAGGCTTGGAGCAGCCACCATAGACAGTGTTTGAAGAAATAAAATGTGCAAAGGTCAAAGGTCAGCCAGCAGTACATTAACTATGACATGAGTCATAAATCCCGATACTTCAGCCTCAAATGACAATATCAACGTGAGAAGCGGAATCGGGTGGATTTCCCGAAAGCTTCATAACGCTAAGTAGTTCGTTATCTAGTATTTAAGACCCATCGTTAATTAGCATGTGTTTCCGAAACCCTTCATAACTGAAGTAGTTCGTAGATTTACGAGTGCTCCGACCCACTCGGTATTTTCTACGTCGTTCTTTATTTGAACTTTTGCCTGCTGTCCTATCAGAGACACAGATATCAGCCAAAACAGATGACAAAAACACATTGACGCTCTTTTTTGGACACCATAATAATTCTGATGATATAATAAGAGGTCAATTCGGCAATATAAAACTATAATGTCGACTATAAATGAATGGAAATGGGGCACTTTGTTGTATTCACCTATATGCCATTTGAGTACATAACAAGGATGTGCAACATTGGGAAGTGACTTGAGAATGAGTTTGAAAAGCAAATTCAGTACATAAATCTGTTGAAAGCACGGTACAGAATCGATATTGAATATAAGGACGTAGAATTGGTAAATGGAATTGATTGAAATGGAATTCATTGAAATGGAATTGATTTCACATAAATTCATATGCATAGTGTAAGTGCAGCTTCAACAATACAGATTAATATTTCAATATGAATTATCCAGCATGTTAACATAAACAGCATGAACTGAATCCCGCCCATACCCCCGAACACGCGATCACGAATGTTTACATCAGCTAAAAGTACCCGTCGGTCATCCACCCCTGTTTGAACACCTGCCTGAAAAGTCAGTGCATCTCACTGCTATTCATAACACACGCCACATTTGAAGTATCACCTATAGAATAAATACTTTAACTGTGATTTTGTGTATCATGGTGAAAGAGCATTTTGTACAGTTATACAAGTAACCCTGTTTCAATGCCACATCTGGCAGACCATAGATGATGCACATGGCCTCAACTCATGGTCTGCTGAGTCCTGCAACTGCACATGATCACATTTCTGTTGCACTGTGCACACAACTACATACAATGTCCAGCAGGAGGGGATGCCTTGCATGACACAAAAATTAGTTTTCATGCCATTGCAGGCACACCTTGCATTGTAGGTGAAGTGGATGGACCCTCGACCCTATTCGTATTTGCAGCCCCTTGAATCCCGATTTGTCGAAAAAGGTTCTTGGCACTAGGTCTAAATGTCCAGGTGATTTGCAAACATCAATGATATTTTATAGACACTTGATGCTTATATTTGCTCCAGCTTTGGAGTGTCAGATAGCAAAGGGTGGTGCGTTTTCTGGTGGCTGGTTACTGTAAGACAGCAGGTATCCTCTTAGTGTTGAATCCATGGTTGAGGTGAGGTAATACCACTGCGCACCGAAGAACACACCCTGCTGCAGAGGAGGCTTTGGGCATGTTAAAGATGTGATTCTGTCAATTGTACCCTTAACTGTAGGTAATTGTAGCTTTTAAGCTGCAGAAATGTAATTATTTTATTAAAACATTTGATTTTTATATATGATTTTGACCTCCTCAATAAGCTGTTTTAAGGCTTCTTTTGAGAAGTATTAGTTCCTTTTCCCATTGCTGCTCATCATTGCACTTCGTTTACAAGGAAGCAACATCACATTTTCAGCCCATCTTTACAGTATATGTTCTTTATGCGCAAATAGGAAATGATCTGTAACTCAGACCATCCCATTTCACAATGTTTTCTGTTAGACCTTAGAAGAATGCAGCCTACAAAGGCTATGCTTTCACAGACCATGTCCTTTAAAGGATTCAGCCCCTGAATTCAGAGCCTGTAACTACCCCATCCACACATGCACAGCAATACATTTTACAGATTGTTTGTGAACGATCTCCACCAGCCCAGAATGGGATATTCAGCCAGATATTCTGATTTTCGATTGCTTGTGTCCCTGTTTATGGGTCTTTTTAGGTGACCCAGTCACAATGGGATGATCATATATGTCCCATGTCCCTAATGGATGCCATTGTTATGCTGCAGCAAAGCCAAAATATTATAGCATTAGGACAAACAACTAGATAAATTTATGGTAGGCCTATTTATTTTGTCCATATTTTCTGGTTCCATTAATCTGTAATATCATATAAATATGGCTGCAAGACACCAGAGTGAACCAAAGCATACCATAATACCATGTCGCTGGATAGCAGCAATTTAAACTGATGGAAATATAAGCTTTTATTTCAGATACGGCAGTGAGTTCGGAAACCAAAGAGTGAACACTTAAAATAACAAGCAAAGAAATCAGATGTTTTTCAGTCAACATACTGCATGCGCAGATGAACGAAGGGCTGCCATTGGACACGAGGTAGAGATTGGGGAGTGACACGTACACAGTACACCACATTATGGCCTGATCCGTTCATTCTGCCATTTTACGGCAAACCATATCGCCTACCCTTACAGCAAACTACATTCGTTGCTTTTTCATTGAGAGAGAACTGGCGTTAATGATTCCACCTATAAAACAGGGGAAAATGCATTTTCTTTGCTTGTCATTAAGTGTTCACTCTGGTCCCCTATTTTCAGTTTTTGGATTAACACCATTACCTAAATTAGTTTACTTTTCCCTCGGTTGAAATTGCTGCTCTCCAGATACATGGTATTCTGTGTTCTTTCTGAACGACTGATACAATTGACCTTGAATGCTAGATAACGAACTGCTTAGCGTTATGAATCTTTCGGGAAACCCGCCCCAGAACAGCGAGGTTACATTTTAAATGGACATTTTTGTTCTCAGGCTGACGTTATACAGCCATTGAAGTACTAAAGCAGAAAGTCAGTTTGCACCTTAGTGTCTAGCAAGGAGTCTCACTAAGACTGTAGCATCTTGGTCCCTGGGGTATTTACTGCCTAGCTTTTAACTTGACAGCAATCATTGAGCTGTGATTAAATAAGCTGCAGCCCAGCCATGTGTTTATGTCACTCAGTCACTATCACTAACTTGACTTGACATGAAATATAAAGCACAGCAAGTGTAAAGTGCAGTATCATAACATAATTGATTCATGCTAATTCAATTCAGGATATCTATACATCCAACTATCCACCTGAAGGAAAGAGCTGAACCAGGTGAGGATTTAGTATATTATTTCACATCCATCCATCCATCCATCTATCCACTTTCCAACCAAATATCCTGAGCAACATCACAGTGTTAGGTTTAGTTGTGGGTTTCTGCCAGAACACTAGCTTGTTAATAATGTGTTACTAAATTAACTGATAGGAAGGGAGAATGTCTTTTTTTGGCTAGTTGGATGTCTGTGTACTGATCGTTAAAATAAAGAACTTAGCATTCTGAGTTATCCGTGGCTGTCTAATTATTATAACTCTGCATCGGCCACGACACACAGGCTCAATTCAGTTGAGATCCCTTTATTTTTATAATGCTCCCTCACAGCACAGCTGCCTCAGAATGCACGACATATACATTTACACACACAAAGCTGCGGGAACACTGGGCTAAGCGCAGAGTGGAGTTTGTCTGCACAGTCATTTACACGTTCATGCCAACACAGGAAACATAACGGCATCCACAGCACAAAAGGCTAATAAACCACAGATGTGTGTTCATTTCCATGCATTTAGCAGTGTCAGCTGCAAGCACCTTTTTCCTCTTTCTCATCAGCCGGACCAGCACAGGCCTGGTAGAAATTGTCCACCTTGTCACAAAGCCCTCTGTCTGCCTCAGTCTGACTCCAACCCTGCACATGCACCATCCACCTGCCTGTATGCATGATCGCCACGCCGAGCTCAGCGATGGCAGACCTCAGAGACCTCCAGGGCTAGTTCCAGAAGCTCAGTGGCCTCGTGGCAGGAGCCCATCAAGCCACAGTCCAGGTCCAGTGTGCAGTTGCAGCAGTCAAGGTCGCAATTTGGCTCAGACAGTGCGCATAGGTACTTGCATGAGGGGAAGCAGCGGTCCAGGGCTCTGTTGAATACTTCAGGCAGAATGTGGAAGAAGTCCGACAACTGGCAGAAGAGGCAAGTCAGTATGATAGCTGCACAGTCATCTGCGTGCCAAAGAAATAGGTGATAACAAATTAAATGAAACAGGAGAAACAACTTTGCATGGCTGGTTACCAAAACCAGACCTAATGGTGAATTTAATTTACCCATTAGAAATATACAAAGGCAATTTCTGTTGACCTAGTTTGGAAGGTACTGAATCTTTTATTTCAAGTAAATATAATGTTGTGCCGGGAAAAGGAAACGGATTATTCACAAAGTGAATAATAAAAGCACATTTACATAACTAAACTGTAACTGTAACATCTGAAACATCATCCAGGTGGGTTGAAACCTTCTGTGTTAAACAAAAGCTTTGCTCTGACATGAAGCTAATGTATTGCCCACAGGAACATACCCATGTTCCCAGAGTAGATTATATTGATAAATAAATGTGGCAGATGAATGAAAAATATAAAAACTGAGATATATCCATAGGACATAAAGGACAAGAAAATTTTGTATAAAATGGAACAAAACATCTTTTCATTAAATCTGTTATTTTCCTTAGTACTTTTGAGGAGTCAATTTGTTTTGTTTTGCATTTTTAATTCATGCTATGGTCAATTTCTGAGTTATAATTTCTTCCTTGTCTCTACTTTTTAAAAACTCAAAGCATCATAGGATTGCATCAGACGTTTGTTGTTTTTATGGTTTCTTGTAGAGTTTTTAAAAGGTTTATTAAGGTTGAACAACCACATATCCATCTTTGCACACATCCATGCCAAATATGGCTTTCATAAATGCTTACAAATAACAAGGCGTATTGGACCTTGATCTGGCTTCATAGGATCCTGGTAGAAACATGACTCTTGCAAATAGAACCAAAGCTCAACTTCCAAAGCAAGTGCGGCCAGCTTTATGCAGAAAGGGCCGCTGTGTCTGCAGGTTTTCGCAGCAATTTTCTAATTAGATTACTAATTAGAGAACTGATTGGCTGAAGAGTCCTCACACCTGGGTTTGAACAGCTGACCTAAAGGTCATCCCAAAAACCTGCATACACACCGGCCCTTTGTGGATTAGATTGGTCACCCCTGTTCTAAAGCAAAACTTAACAGCATAAGTCGAACTGAAGGCTGTGTGACAGAATTTGAAAAAAGTGAAGCATTGCTAAATGGGTTAGAGGAGCATTAAGAGACGAACCTCCCATGCTAGGTTGGAGGGTGTCACTGGAGACACTGGAGAAGCAGCTGGATCTCCCCTGCTCACTGTCACCTGGGGGGTCCTGGCAGGGGGCAGCACTTTCCCCCTCATACTCTGATATGGTGTTTAGCATCTGCTCCCCTCTCCCTAGTCCCTCCTGCATCTCTGGCTCTCTGGATGTGGCAGGTCCACTTTCTTGTCAACAACAAAAGCAGAAACACCAGTTACCCACAAGTCAAAGGCTTTAGGCCGTTGTTTGATTGTCTAATGGCTGTTTAAATGATTTGTCAGTTACTTTTCCTGTTATTCTTTGGTCCACATTTGGCATATGCTATCATGACTTTTGAGACCAGTCCATCCATCCATTCATCCATCCATCTATTTTTTATAACCACTGGTCTTATGTGGGGTTGCAGGAGCCCTGACCCTGTATGCAGGATGGTATGCTAACCAATCGCAGGGCACACACACACACACACGCACACACACACACACACACACACACAAACAGGTTTGCAATTACATCTTTGTGGGGACTCTCCATTCATATCTATGGGGAAAACACTAATCACAACATGACAACCTTAACCCCTACCCAGCCCTAATCTTAACCATAAGTAACCAAACAAAATACAAGAATTTTTACTTTTTTGATCGCATTCACAGATCTTTGTGAGGACCCGAAAAATGGTCCCCATAATGTCAATAAACAGGTTTTTATTACATTGTGGGGGACACTTGGTCCCCTCAAAGTAATGTAAACATAATCAACACACACACACACACACACACACACACACACAGACATTCTGGCAACTCCAAATCTTTTTATTATATAATGACACTTAAATATTATCTGGGCCATTATTTTGAATTATAGAATAAAACTGAATAAATATAAAAGCGTCACCCTGACACATACAAGTAAGTCTACAGTATACTGTATACGATTACTTACCAGACCGTACAGAATTGTCTTCTTCCTCTTTCATTAATACCTTTCCACTCCTTTCGCTATTTCTCTATAGATTCCCGTTCCATCAAGCAGCACACTAAAAAGAATTAAACTTGCGTTTAATGTGAATCAGTGTCGATAGCCTTAAGGATGAATCCACAAAAAACTGCATTTCCTGAAAAAATACAGAATAGTCCACAACAGGAAGCCGACAAACTGTAAGTAAGTAGCTTATTTTAGGAGTGATCAGAACTGTTATAAACACATTTCACGGGGTAATTGCACTTGAGGCAACTGCTGCAGCGACTTTATGCTCCGTAAGCGACTAAATCTCTCCCATCACTACGTATGCCCACACTCCCCTTTCAGACATGAATATTTTACGTGGACAGTTGGCTTTTATCTCCTGCAAAAGGTTGGCAACCATTTCCTGTGAAAAAAAGCATAAATTTCTATAAAATGTGTAAGTCCTGCAATATATTTGCTTCACAGATGGTACAGGCAATATAAAAGGATAGAAATATAATCAAATTTAACCTTCTGAGCTCACTTTGGTTAATTTTTATATTGCTAAGAGCCTTCAATTGTATCTAAAATGTCAGGATCTACAGGATGAATCTCATATTTGCTAAGTGTGACTGCGGATGATTTATAAGGTCACTGGTATATGATATATGATGATTTTTTTTTACATCTTCCATTAGATATATCTACGAATGAGTAGATTCATTTTTGTTTTGACACAATACTTTTCCACCTAAAACGGTCATTTTACAGCTAAGAAATGTGCTAATGAAAAAAGCAGCGTTGCCTTGGCCCTCTTGTACAGCCAAAATACTGTGGCATCCCACAGAACCAGGCATAATAGAACTATTTACAACAGTAAACACAAGGCTAATTATAGACTTAGAGTGGAGGATGCCAGGACATGCAAATCAGCCGCCACTATGTGGAAGCCGGTTCCTAGGCATCACGTAGCTCCCCCCAACCCCCCCAAGGGTCAACCACCCTGGTGACCAACACACCCAGTTCAACACCAGTCAGGGATAAAGTCCTGAAGGTGCACAGCAGGTGCCAGTGTGCCCTTGCAGGCCACTGTGGAGTCAAACTGATAGTGGCCACTGGGGAAGCTGGGTTGATAATGGTTGTTGGGGTAGCTGGGCTCTTGGCGGACACTGGCAAGGTCAGGCTGCTGGCAGGAGCTGGACCCTGGGTGGCCTTGGGATGGTGCGGGGCCAGTTTCCCAAGCTCCACACAAGGGCCCTGGCAACAATCTGACAGCTTGGGTGAAAGTCACTTGCGCCAGTGGGGATTATACAGGCAGACTGCTGCTCCAACATCGAGTGGAGCCCCCTAGCAGTGTATGTCATAAACCTGTTTCTGCCACTGGCCCACCACAGTCAAATGATCATGGGTGAGACAATGAGCTGCCTCCAGGTGCAATCGCAGATCCCTCGTGTACCATGACAAGCTCCATACTGGAGGGCTCCTGAACACCAGCTCAACCGAGGTAAACAGCATGGAGGGGGTGAACCCGGTCAACTCCTGCACTACCGTCCTGCAAACCCTCAGGGTCACTGGGAGATGGTGGTCACAGTCATGCTGGTGTCTGCTGATCAGGATTGAGAGCTGGGTGGTGAGGATCCGGTTGAATCGTTCAACCAGACCATTACTCTGTGGGTGCAGGGGGTTGTGGTCATGCTCCTCGTACCTAGCAGCTGACAGACGTCTGCAATTACAGAGACTCAAAGTTGCATCCCTGACCGCCATGCAGTTCTTCTAGGGCTCCGAACCTGCTGAAGTACTTGTCCACCAGCTCGCTTGTTGTTGCAGTGATACTTGGTTCTAGGAACCGCATATGCTTTGGGCCACTTGGTAAACTAGTCCATTGCCACAAGGATGTAGTGGTTACCGCAGGTGATGATTAGGAAAGGCCCCAGGATGTCCTTGCTGGCACATTCCATGGGGCTGCTGGACTGCATGAGGTGGAGAGGGGCTCGGGAGTGGTCATGGGGTCCTTTTTGGGCCGTAGCAGCAATGTTCATGTAGCTCCATGTCTAAGCAGCAGCCAACCAGTAAAACTGCTGCCAAAGGCTGTGCAAGGTCTGAAGTGTCTGAAGTGTCCCCTTGAGCACCTTTGGGACCAGCAGCTCCCACATGGTCTGCCCCAGTAGAGGACTCCACCACTGCTTATACATCAGTCTGTCATGGTGGGTCAGACTGTTTCACTGGTAGGCGTACACCCTCATGGCTGTGCCAAGAGATGTCAGCTTTGACCACTCTGACTTTCTGCACTTGTGTAGCCGGCCTAGGAGCTGAGCCAAGGTGGGGTCTGCAGCCTGGGCCTGCTGAAGCTCCTGAGGGCTGAGGATCCAGATATCCTCAAGCTGTTGGGGTGCAGTGGTCTGCCTGTCCCTTGGTGAACCAGCTGCTATCGATGTACAGGTGGAAATGGGACAGCCTTGCCAGCACCGGCAGTAGCTTTAGTCGTGTGACAGTGTCGTTCCACTCAGACCTGCTGTAGTAGCGGCTGAAGTAGGTGATGATCTGCTCCCTGTCAGGTCACAGCTGAGACAGGACTGCCCCGATGCTTGTGTTGCTTGCATCCATGTCCCCTAAAATCAGAACAGTGGGATTGGGGCAAGCTAGGATACAAGGGCAGCCTGCAGCCAGTGTAAGGAAGCCTGCATTTCTTGGACTCACTGGAAGGCGGTCTACTTCCTAGTCAGTTGTTGTAGGGGGGTGGCGATGTCAGTGAAGGGTCGGATATATATCCTATAATAGGAGGCCAGATCCAGGAAGTACAGCTCCAGGATTGGCTACAGCACTCCCCAGACTTCCATTGCCCTCACTTTGTTCAAGTCTATCACAATGCCCCTCTCTCTGAGGATGTGGCCCAGAAAGCACTTTGCTGGGTTCAGCTGCAGGTTAGCCCATCAGATTGCCCCAAACACCTGCTGCAGGTCAGCCATTGCATTATCGAAGGTGGTGGCATGAATGAGCAGGTCATCCAAAAACACAATGCAGAAGCTCTCCAGGATCCCCTCCAGCACCTGCTCCAGGAGTCTCTCGAACGTGGCAGGTTCATTGCAGAGCCCAAAGGGGAGAAGTAGAAACTGCTATAAGCCCTACCTCAGAGTGAATGCTATCTTCTCCTGAGCCATCAGAATCAACTCCACTTGCTAATAGCTGGTATGGTGGGCCAATGGGCCTTCAATCCTTATATCTTCAAATAGCTGGGATGGGAGGCATTACTTTGGCTCTGAGAATATCAGATCTAACTGACAGAAAGCTTGACTCAGGTGGTCTGTCACCTCCACCCTGGTTCTGACGGCGCAGTTCTACATGGTCAGTATTGAAAGTGCGTTGTGTGGGTACTGTGGGTTCCTTCCGCACCTCTTTAGAGACTGCTTTGTGAAATTCAGTCCTGCTCACCATTTGAGTATCAGGGACATGCACATATTCACAGACCATGACAACCTGAAAACTGGGGTAGTCTTCCTTTACATCAGAACAGTCTGTGACCAGTTTTGTCCAGCAGTTTTCTCTCCAACAATTCCACTGAACACTGTGTTCCTTGAGGTGGTGTGTATGATACCTACTAAAATTCCTCCCTCAATTTCCTGGCACTATCTTTGCTTCCATTTTGAAGTATTGTGACTGTGCTTTATGTCTTTTGACAGATAATGACTGTAAAGTGACTGAACTGTTCAACTTATACTGTATTTTCACAGTCCCACTCTCAGTCACTCAAGTCTCTCACTAAACAGAGAAGAGCAATTTCATTCATGCTCAACTGGACAACACAGATACAGAGACCCCTTTATTTATTCACCTGATGTTCAGATGGTTCAGTTTGTGGAAGACTATAATAAAAAAATAATTTGGAAAGTTGTCAGAGTAGATGTTCAGTGCAGCTGGCCTAGTTATCCAAGAAGGTATGCCATCCACCTTTTCATGTGCAAGTGTTTGCTGATCTGATGTGATTAGAGTATACTGTATAGTGTGGAAATTAGAAGAAATTAGAAGAAAAAGACGGACAGTTTCTCACAAGTGGGGACGCATGTCCACTTAGTTTATTAAACAACAATCGACAGACTTGTCCGCTGCCCAATCAAAACACCCAGCCCTTAAAGGGACCGCATTATCTGTTGCGTCCCTGTAACATGCATAAGGCATGATGTACTGTATAAATGACTAAAGCATATCCTACTCTGAACTCTAACTACTGTGAATTATGCTCGCAATAGATTGAACCTTGAACTGTCATGGATAGTGTTATTAATATCTGCTACACACATCCCCCCAGAATTCATCATAACAGAAAACGTTATGTTGAGGGGGATGGACAGATCAGCCACGATAGCTCCATCGGATATGGCAAGGGGCTAAAATGGGGTCCGTACAAGGGACTGGTCCCCTGCAGTGACACAAAGATGAAGCAGGGGGGCGAGGGATCCAACAGCTGCCCCCAGCAAGGCGATCGGGCCAGGTCCAAATGAGTTAGCTTAAGGCGGTCTACAGAGAGGTGTTCAGGCTTGCTGCCCATGTCAATGAGGAAGTGCTTGTTACCGGCCTCCAGGATGTGGACAGGACCTTCATAAGGATGCTGGAGGGGGCCCTGGTGGGTGTTGCATAGTGTATTTCACTGACCGTAGACCTGCAGGGAAGTGAGACAGCGGATGGCCATTGTGTGAAATAGGCCAAGGGGTGAAACTGGTGGTATTGTCCAAGAACAGGGTGAGCTGCCACTTGATGAACCAGGGATCCATGCTGTTGGGAATAAACGCCATTGGTTGTCCATTTTGGCCAAGGAGGAATGAAGGTCGGTCTTAGGGGCAGTCCTGAGGCCCAGCATGACCCATGGGAGCCTGTCCACCCAGTTGCCATCCTTGAGGCTGGCCTGCAGGGCAGCCTTCATGGAGCAATGAAATCGCTCACACAACCTGTTGGACTGAGGGTGATAAGCTTGACTCAGGTGGTCTGTCACCTCCACCCTGCCATGAGGCAGTGGAGCCTCATGCCCAAACAGTCCGCTACGGCAGTCCAGAGCTCCGAAGCAAACTGTCAGCCATGGTAAGACGAGACGTCAGACGGAGTGCCGAAACAGGCAACTGAGGACTCAATGTAATCGTGAAAAACCTCTGTGGACAGGGAAGCCGACAGCGGAACGGTTCTGTCCATCATGGTGTCTGTGGTGATGGCGGTCAGGGTGTTGGGGGATGGATGGGTCAGCATTGTTGCATGAGCTAGTGCGGCTTTAGTGGCCTCAAATGCCTTGGTCCTCTCAGTAGACCAGTCCACA